GCTATAATATTATCAGGAGAAATAAATGACTATTGTAGTTTGTTTCGTGATCGTTTAAAAAATGGACAAGTGTTAGGTTATACAGATATTATTGCGAAACTTTATTATGACATTGCATATGTGAATTCAGATCAATGTTACTTAATGAATCTTATTGATTTGGCTCACATTTTTACAGTGAATACCCGGAGAGGGATGAGAAAGGGTTTTAAAAGTTCAGTTCGAGTAGATATGCAATTATCAATAATTCGCAAGAATTTGATGAAGCTAAAGTAAAAGATAAAACTCCGCTATGTTATAGTTATAATCATAATCAAAATGAACAGTTTATTATCAAAAGAAGAAGATAATGATAGATTCTATGAGTTCAAAAGTAGCGTCGAGAAAAGTTTTTACATAAGTGTTTTACTCAAGATAAGGTTCGATCTTCGAAACTTTAGTGAACTGTGATAATATTCAGGAAATTCGTGAAAATTGATGTGTGCTGACTTTCAATAGCAACTCGGCCACTTATAGTAAGTAACATGCGAGAGCTAGTCTTAATATTACTAATCCGCTAACAGTGCTACACCTCATAATGAAAATAATGCTCCCAGAGGTATTCTTTATAAAGGGCGCGACATTCATTTTCCCTCATTATACGAATTTCCCTATGATACGCTTTCCTTTCCCTTCCATCCTCGCTTTTGAAATTTCCTATCATGGACAGTAAAGATGTGAATTGTATCTACGTCGTGTCTGCTACTCTGAATATCAAAGTATGCCCCTAAATATCTTTGATATCCGGTATCTACTATAGAAACTACAACAGAGAAGAAAACACAGCGCGAGTGTTTGCATTTTCATACATATAATGTATCCTATTCAATGCTTTCCGTTCTCGCCCTCAAGCGTTGATACAAATAGTTTTTTGAATATGCAATACAAATTGAATAGTTGCCGTTCTCAAATGTTCAACTTATGTAATTCAGATGAAATCTCCATCTCAGAAAACTCTGTATCACAAGAATTTCAGCTGATTTGGATATCCGTGAGAAAAAAGTGAGAGACTTATTTCTTTACTCTGAATTTAATAGTGTACTTAGACTTGCAACAATACATATGCAATAGTTTCTATGACGCTGCAAAACGACCCTAAAAACTGATCACTGCATTTTCGAACTGTCACTTTTTTTCTCCTTATCTATTCTACAGCAAATATTGTCGGTTTCTTCCATATATATTTTGTCTTTTCTTCATGGGTATTCAGCTATAAAAAGAGTTATTCGGCATATAATCTTTATATTGATCAGTTAATTATTCGTCTATCATAATACGTCGAAGATACTTGCAGCATTTAATTTTATTATATATGAAAATCATTACTTGCTCTACACCATTACAAAATTACGACAATAACAAGGTAAAAGTTTGATAATTGGTTTCAGAAATACAAAATAGTACTTGATTTATTTCATTTTATATTTGAATTCAGAACAAGTTTTGTTTAAATAACTTTTTGCTTCGTCATCGATAGCAGATTTATTTGCTTCAGCATAGTAGGAAACGATGATGAATCATACACATGAAATTAAGGATGAAGAAAAGAAAATGATCAATAACGAATCGACCGAAGAAAGGTTTGGGGGAGATGAATGGCTTAGTACAGAGAAAGATATAAGATGTGCGACAATGAAAGAGCAAGCTATAATATTATCAGGAGAAATAAATGACTATTGTAGTTTGTTTCGTGATCGTTTAAAAAATGGACAAGTGTTAGGTTATACAGATATTATTGCGAAACTTTATTATGACATTGCATATGTGAATTACAAATATTATAGTACAGGTCTAGTAAACAATAATTTACTGTCAATAAAGGTATATTTACAAAAATGTATTAATCAATTTGATTGTAAAAATCAAATAACGGATAACATTAATATTGTAAAACAGGCAAAGTACTTTTTAGATTCCGTTTGCGATCTTTACGTGAGAGCGAATCGTGAAACAGGCAACAATCCTTCAGGGAACGCAGTTGTACTCATCAAGACTGGGAAAAGTAACGAATACTGTAGTTTTTTTGTGGAGAACGGTCTCTGGGTTAGAGATACGAACGGTTTAAAATGTGTTCAAATTCAAAATATCTGTCTTCAACATCTTAAAGTAACTGATAAGAACGGATTGATTTATAAAACTGAAGACAATAGTGAAACGATAGAAGATATTACACGAGAAGCGCAAAGACAACGTGGTCGTGCGTCTATTAACATTCGATACGATGCATTAGAAAGGAGAAAAAAGAAACTCGAAGAAAAGATGTTAGGCATATTGGATACACCCGAACTTAAAACACAGCAAAATTCTACCAATGCTGATAACTTGTTTGATCAATTAAATGAAATTCCCATCATAAATAATTTACTATCGATTATATCTTGAATTATATTGAATATAATTTAGAAATCGGTTGTATAGATGACGCTGAGCGATACATAAAAAAAATAAATGCACAGATAATATCTAATACAACCCGACAAGATTTAGCGGATAAATTAAGTGAATATAGTTTAAGGAAAGAAATAATTGTCCACTTAAGGCAAGTTATGGACTTTGAAACTGCTCTATTGTTGCCACAAAAAGATGATGTACAATATTTTTCAATAAAAAAGCCCAAAAATGAGTCAAATTATAATATAGAATTAGAAAAATGGCGAAATTTACACAAAAGTTCTAAGAATAGAGCAATTTTATTTATTTATAATCCTGTTGAAAACAAGAATCTTTGGGAGAGTTGGTTCTGGATGCCCGACTTACAAAAACAATTGTTTAAACTCGAAATTTCTAAAAGTTCGATGTTATTCGAATTTTTAGAACATACTCATCATCATAAAGCTAGTAATCGTCTTCGTGGTGAATTACTCGACATGTTGACAGATGAAAATACATTATTAAATGATGATACAGAAAATATTCTTTTTATTTCTAATCTAAAAAGTAAAAGAACGAAAATTACCCATATTTGTGAGAAATTGATAGAAGCGTATCATTTTATCGGCCATTATCCTCTTGAACAATATTATCGTCGAGCTGTTGATTATTTTGTAAAAGAAAAACGTAAATTCCAAAATCAAAATTCTTCTTTTGATGACATTAATAATAATTTATCAGAAAGAGAATCATCGGAATCAACTGAACAACATGATGAAACTTCTGTAAGTTTCTTTCCTGTGACTTCATGTTCCTGTGTTAAAAAATTAAACGATAGAATTAATGAACAAGAATTTTTCTTAGATGTTCTTCCTTATCTTGATCAAGTAAAAGATTTAAAACGTTCGTTAAACTCTATTTATAATATTCATTGGACACTTTGTCATGATCACAATCGGCAGAAAACGTTTTTAGAAGATTGGTATAAACAAATTAATCAGTTGAAAGAAGTACGTCCTTATCAAAAGAAATACCTTTTACTATTAATTGAATGTGATGTTTATTTCATATTCAAATGGAATGAAAAAAATCTTCCTCAAATCACGGGTAATGCCATTGTTATGACAAATATTCCAAATAGTTCTGATTATAATGCTTATTTTTTAAAGAATAGTTTTTGGGTTGAAGATCATAGAATTAAAGGTTTAAAGAGTATTAGAATTCAAAATACTAATTCAACAAGTGTCAGTATAAATAAAAAAAGTAATTTTAATCGAGTGGAATACGAACATGTATTACAAAAAGTTGCCACTGAAATGACGTTAAATCGATGGTATTTTTATGGAGAAACAGCTGATGGAAGAGTAATAGAAGGTTTTGTTGATCAAAAAAAAGAATTAGGTGATATAGAAATCTATTTAAAAGATATTTTTCCCTATGACTTCAAAAATAAAAACAGCGAGAAATTTACTAATAAAGAAGCTCAAATTTTGAATCATTTATTGCCGATATTTACTAAAGACAATAGAATTTCTATTCAAGATCATTTTATAAAATCAATATCGACAGTTGATTATGAAAAGCAATGTTTATTGAACACAGGAATTAGAATTTATGATCTGAGAAAAAGTGATCATGGAATTAATCTAACGAAACGAATTAAATCTACTATCCATTTCAAAATAGAATGGCCGGTCAGTGTTGACCTTATAGCTCCTAAACGAAAGCCGTTGTCTCTTCACTTGATTCTTCTTCTTTTTCTTTCTTCAATTCAACCAGTTCACTTCGAAGATTCTTCACCGAATGCTCGCTAATTCCAAGTAAAGCGATGATTCGAGCTGTTGTACTTGTTAAACC